TCTCTCTCTCTCTCTCTCTGCGTGTCCTTGTGTTTTCCCCTTTCGTGATTTGCTACGGTTATTTTCTTGGAGTGTTTTTCCTTCCGTCTGTGTGGGCAATCTGATTTGCTAGCATCCTTCGGGGATTTTTCTGATCTCTGATTTTTGGCAGGTCCTTCGTTGGTGAGTTCCCCCCAAGTTCCATTTAGAAATCAGCTGCTGTCAAGTTCTGCTGATCATCTAGATTCGCTGAGGGTAGTCCATTGTGTGAGCTGAAGTACCGTAACAAAGTCACGTGTACCTTATGATGCATTTCAAGTAGGACTAGCTAGCCCCTTGTTTGCAGTGGCTGGACTTGGTTGGTTTGCTTACCCTGTTGGAGGGACTTTGAAAAGTATTGTCATGTGGCTTTATGTCCTTGGCTTTATGTCCCTAATGTTCCTCAGACTGCTGCCCGGGCCCTTCGGAGCAGAAGCACACAGTTATTCATCTCCTTGCGATTTTCATTTGCTTTCGCTGGATATTTTGTATCCTGCATCGCTGGGCAGGGTATTTATGACTGTATATAATGTCTAGACTCTATAGTATATAGTATACTTAATATGTGTCATCTATGTTTTCATAAAAATGACGTACATGTCTGGCAGTGGTTTGAGTACTCACTCTTTCCCACAGTTCATCCTCATAGTCCTCTGCGTATTTTCCTAAGTTGTGCGTGCCTCAAGTTTGCCCTCAGTCGTTGTTCGATGACCTATACTCTCTACTCTAGGATGTGTCTGCTGCTGTTTTTTAATTGTGTGTTATGGATGCATACGCAGCCTTACGTTACGGGAACTCCCGGTCGAACGAGGGTTCCTCTAATTGCAAACAAACCGTGCAAGCAGTCTTCGATAAGTTGGTATAGTCACCTGCCAACTTCGTGAACAAGGCATTTCTCTCTCTTTCCTCCGTCCAGTGTCAACCGTTCTGGCAACGAAGGGACCACAAAGGCTTGTAGATATACTGGGCTCTTGGGTATGTCCCCTAAATGAGGCTAAATTTGATTTCCCTCCAGCGCATGAGGATGAAAGACCGTCATTATGTCACTGTAGACTCAGCTGGAGTTATGGAAACAGTACTATTCCCCTGCCAGACCTGTCCCCCTGTCTCAATGGAGTTATGGAAACAGTACTATTGCCCTGCCAGACCTGTCCCCCTGTCTCAGGACTACTTCGTGTACGGAGTTTAACGTCGGATTGGGGTAGTACAGCTCCAGAGCCCGAGGCATCGCAATAACTCGCTGGATGGGAAAAGGTGCTAGACGTCTGCCATCTTTATGAACGGCAGTTCTCTTTCGGCCAATGATCCACACTGCTGACTTGCACTGGAGGCACTATAGAGACTTATAGGAAATAAGGGATTCCCCTTGATTTCCTCCTGCTCATGAGAATCAAGGACACTGCAGATGCTGCAGGACATGGCCAGACTTGTCCCCGTCTTCGGACCACATGAGTTACTAAGGTTTTTTTTTTTTTTTTTTTTTTTTTAATTTTAAAGACGTCCCCTCCAATGCTAGTGGTGCTGATAAGAGCAGACACCGCTAGTTACCGAGTTTAAACTTTAAACCACCAGACTTGTTATTTTTGGCGAGTTTTGCACTGGAACTATCATATTGCCCTGATGGTGTTTTTTTTTTTTTTTTTTTTTTTTTTTGGTTTGTGTGTGTCTGTGTGTATGTCCTTTAGGGTACATTGTGTATTCAGTTTTGACATCTTTGGATCAATAATGAATTCGTTAAATTCGATGAACACTTATTTCAACTTGGGAAGTGTGTTTGTGTTAGGGTTTTTAAGTGTTTTTGTGTTGTTTTGCGTGTTCTCTTTCACCTGTTCATTTTTTTTAATGTTTGCATTACAAGTCCACATCGGCTGTTTCCAAAAAAAGTTCTCCACAACTGTGCTTGTAGCAATGCGCCGAAAACGGTTGAAATTTTGGCCATCCGTGAACCGTGTGTCGCCAGCCATAGCTGGGGCACCAGTAAGCTGGGTGGCAAGGTGTGGAGGCGTGGGAGGAAGAAAGGCAGTGGGGACTGGCAGTTCGTACCTGGAGTTTGCAAGGGCAGCCTTTGTGGGCAGAGTCTTTGAGCAGCACTGGGCAAGTGACACGTGGGCACGGAGTTGGCTTGTAGATAGGCTAGCATGGTAGAGGTATTGGGAAGTAGATAGGGTGGTCGCATTGCAAGCAGGGCTTCTACATTGTCGATGTTTTGATGATTGGGGGTGGATGACGAGTTTCCTCCTAATTGGTGTGCATTTCGCATTGGTTTTCTGCTTTCACCTTGGCTGAATCATGTTTGGTCTTCTGTGAGATTGCACACTCTTGATTTATGGGTGCTCTCATTGCATTGTTCCTTGCAATTTGGTACCTGAGCTGGTTCATGGACCTCCGCCTCGCAAGTCTGGTGAGACTGGTTAAGCGGTGCCTACCGTCTAGTTGGGCTGTGTGATCACATTTTCGCTGGTTGATCACACATGGACGAGCTAGAACGTGCATGACGGTGTGATGAACGGGGATATGTTGCAGATGGTGAGAGTATGATGGTGGTTGCCACTGCATGCAGATGCACTCACTGTTTTTTTTTTGTTTTTTTTTTTTGAAGAAACAACCCAAGTAATTGCTAGGGGCACCACTAGCAAGCTCGGGGAGGCTCCATCTATTGGTGGGGAGCGTCACCTGCTGGAAAACGGGTCCAGCGTCCCTGTAAACATTCAAATGTCATATAACATGGCACGAGTTCATCCCACTCTAATCGTTGGCAGTTGATGAGCCAGCACAATGACACGCCCCATTCAGCTTATTGAGCAGCATTGATTGCCCTCGACCGAGGTGATTAATTGCTCACTACAGTCTAAAAATATCTCCCTACTCAGAAACCCTCACCTTATTCTAGAAAGGTCATTCAGCACCATGAGGGGAAGGGGTAATCAAAGCAGGGTGGCAGAAGCCAATTATCGGAGAACCCCGGACCAATCCGGTTTCCCCATTAACAGTCAGCAATTAGAGATTACCTATGCCAATGTCCCCCCACACTACTCGTAATCCCCAGTTCCACTCGAGCAAGAGGTCACCAGTGCAGAAGATAACATCTAAACGACCTCATGGCAGACCATGACCTGTGAAAATGCTGCGTCGTCTCCTAACTTTGGAACCCTCATCAAAACCTAAGAACCTCTTACAACACTCCGAGAGGGAGGGGCATTCAAAACAAGGGGCCACCACCCGAGCATAATGAAATTGTCCCTTACCACAGTGCGGGCAAACAAGAGACAGTCGATTTCATACTGAAACCCCACATTCCACGCAGCAGGAGAGCAAATTATCTCACCGTCGCAACTCACCTGCCACGTGGCTAATCCAAGATTGCAGGGCCTCCCCAAAGGCGCTACCCCACCACACGACCCTCCCCATCGACCCCACCCGGATCCCATGGAAGGATTGCTATGCCTTTCCGCCCACACGGGGAGCCCCAAATTGTCATGAGCATGCTCAAAGTCGTTCCCTTCCCAGCAAGCTTACCTCCACCAGGTATGGCAAGAGTCGTGGGGGAAGCCTGCCTTGCACTACAAACTCCCCCATCGATGTTACCCCTGTTATCTTCGTCGCCAGTATTATCAAACTTCTTTGCCGATGCCCTGGCCGACTTGGATGCATGCACGAAGTTCACCATCTTGGCTGTTTTTATTGTTGTACTTGATATTGATGTTGTTGTCGTCAGTACTAAGGCTGTCTCTTATACACATCTAGATGTGTATAAGAGACAGATGTTACCCCTGTTATCTTCGTCGCCAGTATTATCAAACTTCTTTGCCGATGCCCTGGCCGACTTGGATGCATGCACGAAGTTCACCATCTTGGCTGTTTTTATTGTTGTACTTGATATTGATGTTGTTGTCGTCAGTACTAAGGTTGTTGTCGTTGTCACCGGTGCTGATGTTGTTGTCATTGTTGTTGTTGTCGTCATTGTTGTCAACGGTGCCAGTGAAAGAGACGTTGCCAAAACAACCGTTATCGTCGAATTTATCAGCACGATCGTTGTCGTCGTCGCTGTTGTCGTTGCTTTTGCCGTTGGTATTGTTGTTATTATAGTGGACGGCGATGCAGGTGAGATCGCCGTTATCTCTGCTGCCGTTGTTATTGTTGTAATGGACAGCAATGCAGGCGAGATCGTCGTCGTCTCTGACTCTCTGCTGTTGGTATATCGTTGTAGCAGCGGTCCTCCATATCTTCGTAGCAGCGTTCCTCCAGCTGAGCACAAAGATCTTGCCCCTCCTCAAGATCGTCGTAAAACCTCTGCATCAAATCCTCCATTCGTGGCCCTTGTATAAACGCACGCAGGCGGGGGAGCGGCCCCTCCTCCAGCCCCCATGCAATCTCCAGTAACCTCTGCCGCTCGCTCCGGATCCACGAAATGGATGGTACCATTGTTTCTGCAGCCGCCGCTCTCAACTTCGCCACCACGTGACGCACCCGCTCATTGCTCACTTGGACGATAGGAAACCAGTTATTGGCTTCTAGTTCGCCCGAACACGCCATCGCCATCCAACTCTTAGTTCTCCCACCTTCGTATTCTATTGATGTTAGAAGCTGCCACCGCTATCTCAATCTATCGGCAAATCCCACGGCTGGCGTCACCCCCGTCCGTGAGTCGCGGAACACCTATGTCACCTACAACAGCCGCCATGTGGCAATCAGCACGCCGCGCACGTCTGCTGGGCGCGCGTACAGGCCTAGCAGCCGAAGGGCACCCCCCCCCCTCAGCACTAGTCTAGCCGGCAGACCGGGCCTCGCCGGTTTGGCGGTGTCGGGGCACTAGCGCTAGCGCAGCTTCTCGCTCGCTTTGTCGGGGGGCTGCTACTGTTTTTCGATGCGCTCACATTTTGTTGTTGGTTATGTTGTTGGTGGTAAAAATAAATAAATAAAAAGTCCACACCATATCAGCTGGTGATAACATCTGAGTTCGGGGGCAGGATCGATCAGGTACATTGCCCTCATCTCATCTACCCTCCTTTATTCTTCCTACCATGAGGAAGAATGTTTTGCTTGACAGTCCTCTCATTGTGAGATTGTGAGAGCATGCTACCTTCTTCTGGCGCATCTGTTGGGAGACGGGCGGCGCAAGGGAAATGCCCAGGGTGGATGAAGCACATGAGCCACATTGGAGGACAACTCTTGAGGCTAAAGCTCACACGCTTGCCCAGATCACACTCAGCTTCAGCAACGCTATACTGACCTCAGGTGTGATGGCGTGGGCAGGCAAGACATCTTGCTGTCTTTGGGTAATTCCTGCGGGTTTCAGTCCGTTCTCTTTGCGACTCAAAATAATCCCTGGTCAAGTTCGCCCTCCTGCTGAGAAGTCTGTGCACTGCGGTGGGTCCGGTTCTTTGTTAGTCACTGTTTTTTTTCAGTAAGTTGTAGGTGAGATGTTGGAATTATTTAGAGTCGTAACCAGAACGACTTCCCTTGCAACCCGTCGTAAATTATTTAGAGATGCATCAGGATACCTGCTGGAATGGCCTGAAAACACTTCTGGTCATTTCAGGAGTTTCAGGTGGTTTTTTTTTTTTTTTTTTTTTTTTTTTTTTTTTTTTTTTTGCCTGTTTTGTTTGGTTCAACGTTGTTGTTTGCCACTTCAGGAGTTTCAGGTGGGGAGACCTGAAACCTCTGAAATGACCTGAAGTGGCTGAAGCTACTGAACGCGGTTGCATGTTCCCCCATCCAAATGCCCAACACCCGTATGAAGCAGCTGAAAATAACCTGAAAATAAAGATATTTGTTAACCCTCTCTCGCTCTTGTCCCCGGAGCTGTCCTTCGATGCGGCTCATGTGCTTCATCCACTCATGCACCGC